TTGTCTGATCAAAGGTCATCATTATCTGCTCTACAGGGTATATGCAAGAATCCTGAAGTCAAAGTTAAAACCTTTTAAGACCTTTTTTTAGACCCTTTCCATACATTTTAAGACCTCATCGCCACTTTGAGTTCTAACCGGTTACCTTGGCGACACACTTTACCTCACATTCACTATATACAGTATTGATTGTCCTTCCTCCTTATCTTCCAACCATTTTGATGCAGACTTGCATTTCCCCATAACGATGTTTAACAACCGGCGTAAAATCAAGAAGTGAGCATGCGATAGGGCTGTTCAATTAATCGTATTTTAAATCGCGATTACGATTATGGCTTGCAACGATTACGAAAACAACGTAATCGAAATAAAACGATTTTATTTTTTATTACTTTTTTTTTATATATAATTTTTTTTTTTTTTTCTGTTGAATTATACTTCAAGTTCAGGGTAATCAACTGTTAAAAACATACTTTTCAAATGTTTTTTCTCCAATAAATTGATGTTTTCAAAGTGTATGGATAATCGTTTTTAATAATCGTGAAATCAATTATTGACCCAGTGGAGTGAGTGGAATATGTTTTACCAAAATGTTGGCTATATGTTAAGGAGTTTTCAGGTTGTGACAGTGCACTGCAACATGTTTGTTGATCTTGTTTATTGGTATTTATTATTTTGATATTATTTATTTAAATGTAGACATGAATGTATAATTTATTTTGTATTGGTTTTTCAGTTGATTACCCTGAACGTATAATTCAACAGTTAAAAAGTTGAAATTATTATTTGTATTTGTTTTAAAGTACAATAAATGGATGTTTTCAAAGCCAATGAATAATCGCATTTAATAATCGCAATTACAATTATTGACCCAAATAATCGAGATTATGATTTTCCCCATAATTGAGCAGCCCTAATACCTAGTAAATAGCCTTAATTATTCCATTGTCAGGTCTGTCCGCATGACGGCAAGCAAACTGTTTGTTTTCTGATAAGAGATCCGATCAATCAGGTTTAGGCTAAACTATTGTTATAGCTGCTCCTTCCATGAGTAAAATATTAAACCAGCCACTATTTTTCTCATGCCAGACAGTCAATGGTACACATTCATTTATAAACATCGATTTTCAGCCGGTCTCTGTACAAATATCAGGTGATGAAGAGCTCTGGGTTGTCTGATGTTTTCTGATTCAACGTCAGCACGTCAGTGACTGAAGGAGGGAAATCTCAACGCTGATTGGCTGTTGCAAGACAGCGTCACACGCATTGTCTCTTGCTTCATTCGCGCTGAGGCATTTGCTTTACTCTCGTCACCTATGTTTATGTGCATCTATTGGCATCTTTCACTTCCTGTGTGAACGCACCATAACACCATGGATCATTGTGTTTCTACTTTATATATCAGGCAGTTAGAACACACAGATAAACATGTTTCACAGTTCCCTACACTACAACGCTCTGTCTGCACTTTACTCCCTGGGCCTGTTCTTTACCCAGAATGCATTGGGTGGTGGTGTTCCACAGAGCTGTTACCTGTTTGAGCAGCCGTTCAGATGAGTAGAGCTTCCTCTCAAGCTCCAAAGCTCTCTGACTCTCTGACAGAGATTTCATCCTCTGCAGCGAGAGGTCGTCTCCCAGACGCTCTGCATCCTTACTGACACACACACAAAACACACAGTTTTATAACCAATCAAGCACAATGACAAATACTCATGTTTCAGACGTCAGGCGTCTTGAAGCAGTTCATATTCCCTGCACTGCAGCAGAGGCAGACAGTTCCTCAGCATGACTCACACAGTGTTGCTGAGCTTCATCTTCAGCAGGTCGGTGTAGTAGGTCTCATCCTGGCCCTCTCCACCTTCTGCTGGACCAGGATTGGCTGGCTGAGACTTCAGCAACATCTGAACACACACAAACATTTTCTTTAGACAAAGAGACACATCAAATGCATGGTTCAACAAACTTTTATACATGTAGTGTTGTGCTTATCATCGCTGCCCTCCAGGTGAATCCACCCTCTGTTTGGTGTCACTGATGTTTTGGATGAGAGGGAATATCTTCATGTCTGATTTTCTCTGTGTCACCACTTCACTACAAGTCGCATCACTTCTACATGTATTCAAGTTAGGACTAGTTGATTTTAAGAGAATCCTATATCAAAATATTTGTTATGATACTCCACAATATCCATATTGTGACAATATTATATGGTTCACCATTAATGCTTTCACAAATATTAACACAATGAAAAATGTGGACTAAGTGGTTAAAAGACAAAACTAGAACAGCTAGAACAGTAAATTCAGAAAATGGCATGATTTTACTGTAATGCAGTCTTTAAAAGCAGGCAAAGACAACACTTTTACAATATCCTAAATCTCAGATATCTAGTCTCATTTCCCGATACACCAGCGATATCATATAGATATATTGCACATTCTTCGTTCAGGTTGCTATAATTGTACCTGCTTCACGCTGCCATAAAGGCACCACACTGTTTACTGTCAGGTGTTGGAATATCATTCTTGTGATAGTATAATACTAATATAATTAGTGTAGCTTTGTCTTTATCTGACGCTGCTGGCTAAGTTACACACAATCAACACATGAAGAAGAAACTGGCGCAGCACTCATGGATGGAGCAGCAAGTCCAATTTCCCTCTAGTTGAAGATACTATCACCCAATAGTTTATATTATTAATCGTATTTGTCCCTTTAAATAAAAAAACATCGAGGATTCCAAGGACCTGTTGGAAGCGTGTATATTACATTACATTACATGTCATGTCACTTGTTACACGCTTTTATCCAAAGCGACTTACAAACTCAATACTGTGGACAATCCCCACAGGAGCAATTTGGGGTGAAGTGTCTTGCCCAGGGACACAACGACATGCTGACTGCAGTGGGGTTTGAACCCGTGACCCCCTGATCCCAACACCAACGCACAACCCAATGCACCACACGCCTCCCACAAGATGGATGAGCATCAGAATGGTGTACAGTAGCTTGAAATTAAGAGTAATAAGAAGTGTAGATGAAGCACTCACCTCCACCTTCTCCAGCCTCTGCAGCTTCATCATGAGATTCTGCATCTCTCCGTTCTTCTCAGACAGCATGGACTGCAGCCTCTCCAGCTGAGCGGGGTCCGCCCGGGAGCCCTGCAGCTGCATCAGAGTGGCTATCTGCACCTGCAGCAGGGATAACAGTTAGCACCCATCAACAGTGCACGTGTACAGCACGTGTAGTGCACTTGTACAGCACATACCTTCATGCGCTGCAGCTGCTGCTTGCTGAAGGCGTGCTGCTTCTGCAGCGACAAGTTCTGGACCTTCATGCTGATGAGCTGCCTCTCCATCGCTGCACGCTTATCCTCCAGCTGACACACACACACACACACACACACACACACACACACACACACACACACACACACACACACACACACACACACACACACACACACACACACACACACACACA